TGTACACTTATATGTCCGGGCGGTTCTTCCCGTCCGAATTCCGCACGAAATAATTTCTCCTTGTTGTGAGAGTCGAATCATATAAAAATTGTGTGATATTGTTGTTCATTTCTTTTAAATTCATTCAAGAGATGCAACTTTCTCACCATTGTTCTTGCAATTCCATCTATTGAACTTTGATGATGGGTTAATGTGCTGTCTGTTATGGCTAATGGTAAGAGATTGGTCAAACAAGGACTGGAATTATTTTTTGAAATTCAAAAAGTAAAGCTTAAATTTGGTTCACTAACAAGATTTTCTCAATGATTTTGGAGTTGAGAGAATTTTTCCAACTTTAAAAAGTAAAACTAAAATTTGGTTCCTCTTGATTCCTATTCAATGCTTAAAACATGTTGAACGATATTCAATCATCTTCCAAATTGCCCTCACTCCTCTGTAATTTTAAAATATTTAACGTTTATTTCAAGCTTACTATAATTTATAAGTAAATTTCCTTTATATAATATATTTTCTAACTCCTAATTATCAAATGAGCCCTACATAGGGGTATATTGTTCAAACCAATAGTTTAGACTTTAGAGTATAAAAAAAGGATAGTGCTGCTATATTCTTCATATATAAATAATAAATTAAAGTTTATTTTACTTAGATGGCCCAATAAAAATTAGAATCTAATGCTTCTGTTTAGAAAAATTTAATTAAGGCATCTTTTAGGATAGCTTTCTTAGTGCTTTTTAAAACAGCTTTGTAATACAAAAATGAAAGCAATAAGAAAGTCGTTCCATATAAAGCCTAAGGCTTCGTTTGGGACGGCTTTTTTATTGCTTTCTAAAACGGAGTTTTAGTACAAATTTTTTTATTTTTGTACTAAAACTCCGTTTTAGAAAGCAATAAAAAAGCCGTCCCAAACGAAACCTAAGTCAACTAAACAAACTAAATCCCAAATAATTTTTTTTGAGAGTGAAGCTTTAATCATTCTTAAATTAGGGGGTGTTTAAATTTTCTGAGAACAAAAACAATCCCTTATTCCCTTATATCTTCCTATTTTTATTTAAATATTTTCAATTGTTAATTATTTTATTCATCTTGGTAACTTAACTTATCATATGATGACATTATTCTCCTTTCATTTTTGAATGTGTATGAATTAATATATTGTAAATGCAACCTCACAAAAGAAGTTGCTAGAAATTCTGACTATTATGAGATGCTATACAACTTTTACAATGAGCACCACTATTTCTTTAACTCTTTCTATTTCACTGACCTGATCTTGAGATCAATTTGGTTAGAAAGAGCTGAAATAGTCCTTTAAGAGGGAGAAAATTGGATTAGCATAGTCGGGCTTTTCCAGTCTCTCGAACATTATGCCTTCCATCCTTGCTTGAACAGACCCAAATGAAGCCACATCCTGCAACATCTCCTTCATTGTTCTCTCCAAGCCAAATATTGAGCTTCCAATGCTACTGACAAGTTCAGGTAGCGATGGCGAGGGTCTTGATATCTCAACTAACCTAACCTGGGATTCAAAAATTAATATTAAAATTTAGCACTAAAATACTCATGATTGCAGCTCATTTTGATTTATTGGTTGAAAATTTTGGCTATCAACCAACAGGTCTTCAGTTAGAAGCTCGCAATCAGGAACTCATTCAGTTGCTTGAAGTGGGTAAACATGAAAAATGAAGATTTTACTGACTCCATGTGGTTGGATATACTTACAAATCAATATTGATTTTGCACTCTAAAAATATACTAAAATTTCCTCGAAAGTGATGAATTTTATTTTCAAATAGGCAACAACAACAACATCATCAAGTCTTTACCCCACTATGTGAGGTCAGCTACATGAATACTTTTTCTCCATTGTGTCCTATTAAAAGTTAAATTCTCATTTAAATCTAATAAGAAAAATCATTCATAATATTTTCTAACCAAGTTTTTTTAGGTCTGCATCTACCTTTCTTAACATAAGTCGAATATAATACATCTATTTTTCTAACCGGGTCATCGAAAGGCCGCCGTTTTATGTGACCAAACCATCTAAGGCGACTCTCTCTAATCTTATCTTCTATTGGAGCTACTCCAACCTTTTCCCGTATATGCTCATTTCGAATAGGATTGAGTAAAAATAAATTTCTCATTTTTTTAAAACATGTTTTCCACTTCAAGCAAACAAAAGAGCACTCAGTTATTGGCATCCTATTTTGTCTTAAGCTGCACAATAATGCAAAGATAACTGTAGAGAAGCAAGACCATTCAATAAAATTTACCTGTCTATCTTGTGGTATATTAGCCTTTTGTTTTGCAATTGCAACAGCCCGAGAGAAGCCGCCAATAGCATCAACCAAGCCAAGGGAAGTAGCAAGTTTGCCGGTCCATACTCTGCCCTGAGCAACCTGTTCCATCTCATCTACCTGAGCACAAATAGGACAAGATTGGTCAAATCAGAGTGCATACATTTATGCCCTGAATGTTAAACAAGGGGCGGTATTTACCGTCATAGATCTAGAAAAAGCTGCTTTATCCCTGAATTGCTCGTAAGCATTCTTTGCAGACTTTTCAAAAATTTCTTCTTCATCAGGGCTGTGATTTAAAAGTATTATTAGAGATGGATTAAACTAAGTGGGGCAAAGTCATACATGGTACCAGTAAATGAAGAACATGAATGACTGTAGGGGAGTGTCAACAAAACAGGAGAAGTAGGAGGATTGATAGATGAAACAATCATAAGGGAAAAAAATGATCATATGTGATTAAAATAATCATGTGCATTATTAGTCTAAAATATCTTCATACTATTATTAAATTATTCTTGTATCACGGTAATAAGATTGAGAAAATAATGCTGACATGATATTATTATTTGATAAGATATACACATGTCATGCGATTATAATCATAAATAAAAGTGAAAAATCCTATAAATGCACAAATGATGGAGATTTTGGAAGGTTCCTAAATGTAATAGAAAACAAGTATAAAAAGAGTAGAGGATCTAGAATCATTGTTTAAAAAAAATAAATAAAAACAATACGATGATGTTTATAATTCTACAAATCTCATAATGAAAATTTTCCTCGTTTCATAACAGAGTTAAAAAATATTTAAGGCATTAAAGATACAAGAGTTAAAAATTATATTATTTTGAGCTAGATAACAAAATGTAGATTGTTTTTTCCAAAAAGTTGATAGAGTTTTTAAGTTTGTCAATTTCTTATGGGTTGAGTATACTGATTCCACAAGACAAATATACTCTTTTTGGTGACATTTATTTCCATTAAAATCTAGAGACTTTTCATGGCAACTCACTACCTAAAATGATGCGGACATCGGCACGAAGATTTGGCGCATCTATCACAGGAGGCGTCGTAAATCGACGGCTCTAATTTACATTTGTCATTTATGATTTATTTTATGAATTTTAGCTTTTATTTTATGTTATTTCCTGTTCTACCCATAGGTTAGTTTATTGGAGTGTTGTGGCCCAATGGGCAATTTTGTAATTTTTTATTTTTCTCATGTTGTGGCCTATATATAGGGCCTTAGGCTATTGTAAAAGGATGGTTAATTGATATAAAAAATTTTATTTTCCACACTTGTGTTCTTCTTGAGAAAGGACGAGAGTGAGATTTCTATGAGAGAAATCGAGAGTTTCACCAGCCGCAGGATGGGTCCGGGCTCGTGATGTGAAGTCCCTTGGAGAAGGGCAAACGAATCAACCACCAACCTTGGAGACGGCCGGGTTCGTGGTTTTCTCTTTGTATTTTCGTCTTCATCCACCACCCTCTTTACATCTTTCGTTTTATCTTATATCGTTGTTTGGTTTTGTCATCTTTTCTTCCTCCCTCAACTTCACGGTCCAAGCTCCATACCGAGCTCACCCCATCCGATCCCCATCCGTCCACTCCAAGCCCCCGGCCACTTCCCTCACCCGCCGGCCACCTCCCCCATCCACCCGTGAATCTCTCCTTCCCCTTTACCCTCCCCCTTTCCTAATTTGGGTTGGCAAAATCGAGAGGGAAAATCCATGACAATTTGGATTTCAGAATTTCAAATTTGAAATCTTTCCTAATTGGTGTTCCTCCCATCAATTCCCCAATTAAGGCATTAATGGCCTCTTAATTTGAAATCAATTTTCAAATTAATTTCCCCCCCTTGTTTCATGCAAGCCGCCAGCTCTCTGGATTTGAATTGGAATTTATTTCCTAAAGTACAGAATCCTATTTTAGGCAATTGATCCAAGCCACGTTAATTTCCCTCTAGCCGAATTTCCACCAGGCCTTTTCTGTTTGAATTATTCCAATAGGAAAGTCCTATTTTGGAAGTAAATCAATCCTTTATTTCCCTCCCTCTCTCCACCGCCTCTCTTGCAGCAACTCTCCACTTCTCTATTTCAATTTCATTCCCGTAACTCCCCACCTGGCTGAATCTCCCAAATTCCCCAATGCCTGCAGTTATTTCTTAAATCAAAACGTTGATTTAGGAAATCAATTCCCTTCCTTCCCTTTTTCTCTCTCCAAGACCTCTCTTTAACTCACAGCTAAATTCTTCATCTCAATTCCCTACCTACCACACTTGGAAAAATCTGAAATTCTACTCATATTTCAATAGCAAAATCTGAAATTGTTTCAGTTTTGCTGGACAGAAACTTGGAAATTTTGAACTGAATTCTTCCTAAAGCCTACCCAGGATTTTGTTGTTCTCTTTGAGAAGAGCTTGGGCTATCAACCTGCTGTTGGCAAATCCGAGATTCCTCTCAGATTGTGGAGAAGAGATCCATTCACGGAAGAAATCATCTCATAACTGCTCTAGACAAAATTTCTGGTGCATAACCTGTAGCTTGATCCCTCTCCATAGCAAAGCGATTCTTCGTTCTACATAAGTTTGGTATCAGAGCATGGACTCGGATGGACTTGGAAGGACTTTAGACTGGTTGGTAGGTCAACTGGGTGCCGTTAGTCAACATCTCAAGGAGGATCAAGCGGACTTAGCCGACCTCCACCGTCAAACAATCGAACGATTTGACAACCTAAAGCGAGGTAGGACTGACCCATCTCTTTAGACACCTGCAATATCCCCTCCCTCAAAGGATAGAAAAAGGGCACTACGAGACAGAGAGATAAGGGATAGAGTGGACAAATGGTTGGAGGCCAATGGAGCCTTCAATTTACCACTCACTGTGCAAATCAAAGAGAAACCTAAGGTGATCAAGGAAGAATATGAAGAGGAAGATGAATTGGTTGACAAGGAGAAATGTGTGACTGCAAATAATGCAGAGGGAGATTTGTTTGACTCAATTACAACTCCTACAGAAGCCAAGGTTTCTCCTGACCCAGTTGAAACTCTTATAACGGAGAATGTTGATGAAGCTCTGGAAGTGACATCTATAATTGACGAGCTAAAGTGCTACGAGCAAGTTGACCTTGTGGGCAACCGGGTTTGTTTGAAAATCGTTGCAAAAGGGTCATTGGGTTTATTGTTTCCAAATAACAATCCAGAGTTATACATGAGTAGTTGTGATGCTTACTCGACGGAGTCGAGTATTCTCCCAACCTGGGGAGAATGATGCGGACATCGGCACGAAGATT